TTATTTATTCATTTTATTTCAATGGTCCTCGCTTTGCTGCACTTCTTTCTTTCATGGGAGCCGTACTTTTTTCAGGAATCATGATGTAACTTCATGAAGATTTCAGTTTCTAAGAGCAATTGCTGTACTTGAGCCCAGTGTCTTAGAGTAGGGTTTGTAAACCTCAGGAACACACTCAGGAAGACAGATGAAACAAATGCTGCACGAAAGGTTGCACTGAGTGACAGAAGCTGGTGGAATTGAGGCTAGCCCGGATGTGATGTCACGGCTTTGGCTGCCATTGGTTGGAAAATGTAGGATGTGGTGTTTCTGGAATTTGTCAGGATAACTTAATTGGCCTCTGCAGCATGACTTCTGACCATGTCTCTCTTAAAATCTGTCTCTCAAAATTCCCCTAACTTTAACAAGTACATACTAAAGCAGTGGCTCCCAACTGGTCCAGCCATGAGGTCCAGATTTCTCCTTAGTCACCAGTTCAAGGTCCACACAGTTTAATACATTCAGTGTCATACTTGTGTTTGGCCATGTCATTGAGCTAGTTAGGTGTTTATGTCAAGTAGCTGTCCGTTAGTCAGTCACTCTACAGCAGGAAACAGCACGTCAAAATTAAATCTCTGTGCTAGAATTCACCGTACTTGAAAATAAAGTTATTTTTTTACGAACTTGACATGTTTGCAAGTCACTTGGGATCCAGTCAGAATGGACCTGTGACCCACTTTTGGACCGCGACCCACTGTACTAAATCCCTTCAGTGCCACTTCGAGACTGAAAGACCCCTCAGAGGCTGCAGCTCTTTGGACTATCTGGAACCAGCAGAGTGTGCTAAAACCTCAACAATGATGCTGTGATCCTGTGGCTCACTGAGCTGGACCGAGCTCCATCACTGTCAGGGTCAAGGGTTTCATTCCCACGGAGGTGTCCCACACATGTACTCAGATATCAATGAATCATATTTTTTAATTGTAGGGTAGACTGGGGTTAGATGAGCCAGTGGGTGAGTTACCTATATCCTCTCTTTCTGGACAACTGTGCACATTGGTTGTCATGAGAACATGTACTTAGGAAGTTGAGCCAGTGGTCCAACTTTACCATAAGGCAATGAAGTTAAACACAGTCTCTGAAGTAAAAAATATATTTCAATATCACATTACACATATGTTAAACATTGTAGAAATGCTATTTACTCAGTTCTATGTAATTTTTACCTGTTGACGGACCTCAGGGCTGCACACACAGAAAAATAAATACCACTCATGTAAAAATAATGTTGAACAGCATGTTGCCCACACAGGCAGCTTCTGTGGTCAGTGTAGCAGCTTTAATTGATTATCATGGCTGCACTCTGCTGTGTCTCATGTATTTTGGCTACTCCAAAGAGATGCTATGAACTTGTATTAGCAATGTCAAATAGAAACAACATTCTTGTCCTAAACAACTGGGTTTACGCAGGTAGGGTGTGCAGGAAACGGGTTTCAGTAAAGGCTGACTTATCTTGTGCAGTTAAAATAAATATTTGACATCAGAAAAAATGAATCATGTTCCCCCATATTGTGAATATGACATACCACCATCTCTCCGTTTTTTTTTTGTTTTTTTTTGCCAAACACTTATTTTGTTTTATTATATGTGACTTGATGCTAGCAGATTTTAACTCTTTCTTCATTTAGATCATGTTGTTGTTTTTGCTCCTCAAAACTATGCTGGTCGTCCTTTTATTTTAAAAGACTACCTTCATTTGACAGAATTTTTTAAAACTGATCCACCAATAAGGAAATATTAAGATTCCAAATATTAAACATTATTTAGTTGGTTTTATGTTGTTTAAGTTAGCTTTCAGAAAAAAATAAGACTATTTGGAAAAGGAAAATGTATTATTAAATTATTTTTTAAGCGGTAAATAGGTAATTTTATTTATTTATTTTTTGCTTTAAAAGTCAGAAAGTCAATTCACCCTAACATGACTATTTAAATACATCTTTAAGGACACGATGTACGTTATACTCTGGTCCATTTTTAGCCATGTTATGCATCAATAAGTGGGGAATAATTTCATACAAATTTTGAATTTTATCAAAATGAAAATAAACTAATGCTCAAGCTCAAACTTCTGTTCATAAGTTCATTTTTTAACTTGCAAACATAGAGAGAAAGAAAACTTAGTGATTAACCCTTCCAAGTGACAACAGCTGTCATGACCAGAAGAACTGATGCTTATGATTTGTTTAGTTTTTATATTTGACACTGCTGTGACAATGTTTTGCCTCATTAGGGTGGGAACCAGGCAATATGGAAAACTCAGCCTGGGTTCAGTTCATCGGAACAAATGTGTAAGTACATTTTTCTCCCCCTCTCTGCAGGGTGTTGGGCTCAGGGATGGCTTCTCTGGTTATACTGCCCCCTGCTGCCCATTATGGTTTATGCAGTTGGGTCATGATTGCAGTCAGACTGTATTTCCCGTAACTGCTCATGCAGCTTGAGAATGAAGTGGGCAGCACTAACTCTGCTGCAAAAAGACATCAGTCAGTCTTTAAACAGTCATATTTTTTTAAAGTATGAAAGTGTGATAGAAAACCAATAAGGACAATTATCAAGAACAAAATGTAAGATTTGTTTTTTAAGATCACTTTAGGTTCTTCTCAGCAGCATATCCTGATGATATAATGAATTAATTTGTCCTAGACCTGGACATGAAGCAAAGAATGGATGGATGGATGAACCAGTGACAAATAATTTCATGTTAATTTTATTTTTTTTTGTCCATTATGAGCTGATCTCAATTGGAAAAGCTGTTCTGGTTAAAAGGAAAAAAGGCAAACTTCCCACTTGATTTGAGATTTACAGATTTTAATTTGACCGACAGAACATACTTGGTATTAAAGAATTTCTTTTGTACAACTCTGTTTTACTGACAACACAAACTGGGCACATGAAACAAACCAACACTGAACTTTAAGACAATCTTAAGTGACTTCACATGTGAGCCTCATCCACTTGCTGCCACTTCAAAGGGGTAGTGCTGGGGGAAATCATGGATGACTTTCAGGGCTTCAGTATACAGCTCTAAATCTGTGGGATGAATGCACAGAACATACAGCAATGTAAATCACCACAGATTAATGCTGCTGTATTCATGTATTACAAGTAACTAATACTAAAGAGGACCTACCAAAGGGAATGCCCCTGTCCTCGCGCAGCATGTTGTATGTGGTGGCCATTATTGCTCCTTTGTTGGACACCATACCAATCACCTCCACAACACCACTCAGCTCTTCTTCAAGCTAGAGGAAAAATACAACTGGATTTAATATCATTATCTTGTAACCTAATTCAGGCCTACTCCACTGGGCAACAAACTCATGGGTGCAGACAGGATATTCATTGTTGTACTACATGTCCCAAGTTCACCTAAATTAGTTGTCAGCTCGATGTTTAGCAGGTTTACATATTGTTCTAATGCACACATCTACACCGATCAGCCAAAACATTAAAACCACTGACAGGTGAAGTGAATAACCTCAACCTTCCCTCCAAAGTCCCCAGAAACCAATCTGATCGAGCATCCGTGGACCTGGCGTTACCCCAGAGGTCCTGTGTCTATGCCTCTACAGGTCAGGAGCCCTACTTGGCTCTGACCTGTTGAGGCACAGACACAGGACCTCTCGAGGGGTGTCCTGAGGTATTCAGCACCAGGGTGTTGGCAACAGATCCTTTGAGTCTTGTGGGTTGGGAGGTGGGGTACCAGCAAGTCCCACAGATGCTCGATCAGATTGGGATCTGGGGAATTTGGAGGCCAGTTTGACACCTTGAGCTCTTTGTCACAAAGGGCCACTCCATTCCATTTGTGCAGTGTAGCATGGTGCACTGTCCTAAGGGGGTCGCTGGCACTAGGGGGTACTGCTGTTGTTGGGGGTGTTTGGTCTGCAACCATGTTTGGGTGCGTGGTACCTGTCAAGTGGCATCCACCCAAGTTTTCCCAGAAGAACACTGCATTGTTATGACTTGATCAAAGTTATTCACTTCACCTGTTAATTCTTTGGCTGATCGGTGTATGGCTTTACATTGACTGTAAGGAAGAGAACATTTCAAGTTAAGCGGAGACTTGTGGGTACCTTCAGATCCAATTTAATTCAGATATATTAAGATGAGAGTTCAAAGGACCCCTTTGTAAATGGCCATGACACTTTTCCTCTCGTCAAAATTTAGCTTAACTTTGGAGTATTACTTAACTCTCTTCTGGATAAGCTAGCATGACATGGTTGGTACCAATAGATACCTGAGACTGTCTAGTTTGAATAGTTACCACTATCTTAGCACTAGCTTAAACAGCAGTAACTGTTTCAGGCTTGTCTGCAATTATAATATATATTCTAATGTTTCTATAGAACGTGGTTTAACATGTAGGCTAACTGGAAAACAAGGTTTAGGTGTCACGTTACTCACAGGGTCATTAAGTTCAACTGTTGCAATCTGTCCTTCTCCATCCGCGACTGTGAACGTTCTTCCTGTCGGGTGAACCTGGCGAAGAGGCACTCCATGTTAGTGACGTTTAGCCATAACAAGTTACCCACTTTTGAAACAACTACAACAACATTTTCACCCAAGCTAGCTGAAACACTACTGACCTTTTCAACCCGCCCGACGAAGCAGACCGGTCTGTTGATGTACTGCGACAGCAAAGCGCAGGTTATTCTTGGTTTCGGGACGTCCAGTATGCCTGCCATCTTACACTTTTAGCTGTTATGGCGATACTAAACTCTGGACAAAGCAATATCGCGCGGGAAATGTTTAGCACAATATTTTTGTATCACATGCAACCCCACGCGGGCGGCTATGTACATTTACACTGAAAAAACCCGGCGGTTATAATAGCGGTAAACGCGGGGCTTAAAATCGAACGCCTCCAACGTTTTTTTCCTGACACATCCGGTGTACTCTAACAAACCATTCCCCGGAAACACCCATGGATAGTTCCGCTACATGTTGCTGCGAGCAACACTTTGTATGTGGCTTTTACAGTTTCTACACGAACAAACACGGACACGGACGGTATTGCGGCCGGTGACGTCAGCGTCCATAACACAACAATCAACAACACGGATGATATTGCACCTCTCGCACGGATAAGATACGGACGGAACATTAATCGGCTTATATCCTGTGGTTTACGATAGCTAAGCTAAGCTAACAGTTAGCGGGACCGCGCTATCTGACATTAACCGAAAGGAAACAAAGTAACTGGAACTATGAACTGATTTATGACCGTATTTGAAACCTCGTGACAAGGCACAACTACAGTAAGACATTTATTATCACTTTCTAGAACTCAACAGTTAGGAATAACGTTATACAGCGAATTTAGTGGATGGCAGCAGCTACCTACGTTGATTTAGTTAAAACTGAATATGTAACACTGTGCGGTTTCTTGAGTTGCAAACATATGTTCAACTATTCAGATGAAGCTTTCTCTTTCCGTTACTCTTATGCATCCTACATGTAACGTTAGTGCTGAAGCATTTGTCTCCAGACGGTTAGCTCTGAGCGTAACTAATGTCTCCATAACTGAAATGCCAACTCAACTTGATCAAACAGATGCTGCCAGCTCACATATCGCCATGACACTTGTGTCTTAACTTTCGTTTCCTCTGTTGACAGAAGCATAATCATGTTCAGTTTCCTTGGACTCCGTAAGGACTCAAAGAAGTCAACATCCGACAAAGAAATAGATGGAGGCTTTGTCATCATTGGTGAGAAACACAGTCTTATATGAAACTGGCACACCATATATGTGTCTTTAATTTTCCATACATTTAAAGCACCAAATACCAGTTATGTGTGTGTGATTGTATACACAAGTAGTGGTATGATGATTGCCTCTAAGTAAGGCGTTGGTAAAGTGATGTAATTTGAATGGAGGTTGGTGTAATCCTCCTCATGTTCCTCATATATCATGCAGTGTGTGGGGAGCTGGTCAGCCACATGGCAGAGTCACTTCAAAGATCATTAATGATGCAAAACCAGTGAATAGTTTGGTTAATTATAAATGAGCCTTCTAGTAAAGTTTAAGTTTTAACCCAGAAACTGTAAATGTGAATACAGCTGGGTGCTAGCTGGTTTTCAGTTGATGAGAGTCAGAATATTACAGGTGATGAAGTGCTTCATAAATATGAACAAATGGAAATCAAATGGAGTTGATTGAGACGTTGAGGGCTACAGATGGGTTGTGCCTGTGAAGGGAGCGATACAAAAGGAAGTATTATGGCAGGAAGTTTGTGGTGGTTCACTTTTTTGCTCCTTGTCTCATGATCATGCTTTCCCGTGTGACAAAATCTTAAATATATCACACATCGAACAATTGCCTTACTGTGACTTTAACACACATAAAAACATTTTCTGGAACAGAGTTTTTTCTTGATGTGGGAAACAGTAGTTTGACCAACAAAAAAAACAACTCAAGCTCCTCTTACTTGCGTCTCATGGTTCATATCATTAAGGTACAGAGATCTCGAGATGACCCTATGTACAGCCATCTGTCATCACATGACTGAAATTGCATAATTAGATCACATAAGGAAATCTGAGCTATCTCTGCAATGACTTTGCAAACTTCATCCAGTTAAGGAGAGGATGAGGTTCAGTTGTCAAGATTCATTTGTCCTTTTTTCTTTGCTTATTGATGTCATGCCTAAATCTGCAACACTGCAACCCCTGGAAATAAGTTTTATTGGCAGATACATTGGCAGTGTAACAATGAAACAAATGTGTACAAAATGATTATTATTTTAATATTTGGTTAGTAGTTCCTGTTATTTGACATTGCTTTAGTTTCAACTCATTGTACATACTCCCATTTTAGTATTTCCAAGCCATTTGTTTTAACCTAAAACCACAGCAATCCACACGGATCAAGGTTCATCCTAAATAAAACTTTATCTTACTCCGTTTCCTAGAGAAGTGCATTATTTTTATTTGCCGTTTATCCTCATCGTAGCTTTAATTGGAGGAGCTGGTGGAGCTGACACAGATGGTCAGGAGCTGCATGTTATTTTTGGCAGAAGAGAATAAGTGTCAGAGCCAGACTTTCGTTTTCAGATTGATGCAACCAACTGAGCTCACTCTCTGTTTACTGTTTAGTCATATCCTCTTATCAAGGATGGCCTTAAAATTAGCAACATGCCGGTGAAATATTAACTCAGGCAAGGCAACAGTGATACGGCATCCCAAATACAGCTCGATCGACTAGGGTCACCTGAGGTTTCACTGGAGCTTGAGGAGATTTTAAAGTGTTGTAGTGTGCATTTGTCCATAAATGTTAAGTTTTATTTAGTCATGTTTATTTTGCCTCTGGTAATAATAGCTCTATATGTATTTTTTTGCACAGAGTGGTGACTAAGGATCTCTTAAAGGGCAGTATGAACAGATGTAGAGCTGCCAAACTGTTCCATGACTTTTCAAGGACCCATAATAAAGATTTTTTTTCTTGCCCCACTTCCCCGCACTTTTCAGACATGTCAGATTCAAACTCTATTCAAACATAACTTCAGCTAGCTGGCATACGGAAGAGAGAGACGAACCGAGGGAGAAAGTGACAAAACGTATGCTATTCTAAATGTTGTCACACATCGACGCATATCTGAGCTACCTTTAGTCGACAGCTACAGAAAGTTAATTTGCTGTTATCTAATATTTAGTGGAAGGTTTATCCATGGAGAATTATTGTAACAATTTCATTATAAACAACACAATTTAATAACTTTTCCAGGCCTGGATGATGTGATTGTAAAATTCCATGACTTCACCAGGTTTTCCATGACTGTGGGAACTCGAAACAACAACAGCCACTTCTGAGCTCGCAACCTACATGCTAAAACATCTTTTAATGTTTTATGTGGCATTTTCCTTTACAGGGATTTAGCCATTTTAATGCCAGTGGCACCTCTCCACGAAAACAAGGTCGCTCCTGACATGTTTGGCACCTAATGGCACCATCACTGCATCCTGGCCTTAAAGGAGAAATCCTGTATTTTGCACTTTGAGCCCCATTTCTGGGTTGTTTATGATGAAATAGAGTGGCTAAGACCAAAATAGTGACAATTGCTCCTTTTGGGAAAATTTGGCTTTCCCCTGCCTGGCTTAACACTGCTGCCTATGGCCATGTGTGAACCTGTCCTAAAACCACCCTGAACGTTCGTTTTCAAAGCCATGAAACTCACCGAGTGGTCACGTGTGGTCAGTTGATGTTCTGACATAATGATCGTAGCAAACTGTGGTTTCCATCTGTGTTTTTGCTATTCATCTGGATTGTGGAACTATTTTTTCAGCTGCCTCACACCCATGTGTAAACTTGCGCTTGATCGTTCGTTTGACCCTGCAGCACTATACACTCCAGCCCACTTGATGGCGATAATGCGCCTTTATGTGGGTGTCGCCAACCGGCAGGAAACCATTGCAATGTAATGGGACACAGAGAAGAAGAAGGTTGGCATTGTGTTCAAAGGCATCATACTGCGAAGGTTATTTTCAAGCGAGTAATCCATTGTGCGGTTAAACTTATTACAAAACTTTTCGTTTGTTCTTGTTCTTCCTCCGGGAGCACACACAGCACTGTCGAGCCGGCACTTTCACTGAGCTAAAAGACTACAATGACTACAACCTTGTCGTAAACAACCCCCTTTCTGTTTCTGGTGGCGGATTACTACCAACGGACAGTGAGGTTTCTATGGAAAAACAATGGGGTAGACAAAATGTCAAATAAATCATCACGGAAACCACAGTTTGCTACGATTTTTATGTCAGAACATCAGCGAACACCACTGACCACTCAGTGAGTTTCATGGCTTTGAAAATGAACATTCAGAGTGGTTTTAGGACAGGTTCACACATGGCCATAGGCAGCAGTGTTAAGCCAGGCAGGGGAAATCCAAATTCTCCGAAAATGAGCAATCGTCACTATTTTGGTCTTAACCACTCTATTTGATCATAAACAACCCAGAAATGGGGCTCAAAGTGCAAAATACCGGACTTCTCCTTTGATGCTCCCTGAAACAACTGCAGTTGGTTTAAATAAATACAAACAACCCCAAGTGTTTTTTTCCCTTGGTGAGGAATTATGTTGGGTTCAGGTAGATGTTCCTCCAGCACTGGCACAGAGTGAGATACAGTACAGGCCAAAAGTTTGGACACACCTTCTCATTCAATGCGTTTTCTGTATTTTCATGACTATTTTCATTGTAGATTCTCACTGAAGGCATCAAAACTATGAATGAACACATGTGGAGTTATGTACTTAACAAAAAAAGGTGAAATAACTGAAAACATGTTTTATATTCTAGTTTCTTCAAAATAGCCACCCTTTGCTCTGATTACTGCTTTGCACACTCTTGGCATTCTCTCCATGAGCTTCAAGAGGTAGTCACCTGAAATGGTTTTCCAACAGTCTTGAAGGAGTTCCCAGAGGTGTTTAGCACTTGTTGGCCCCTTTGCCTTCACTCTGCGGTCCAGCTCACCCCAAACCATCTCGATTGGGTTCAGGTCCGGTGACTGTGGAGGCCAGGTCATCTGCCGCAGCACTCCATCACTCTCCTTCTTGGTCAAATAGCCCTTACACAGCCTGGAGGTGTGTTTGGGGTCATTGTCCTGTTGAAAAATAAATGATCGTCCAACTAAACGCAAACCGGATGGGATGGCATGTCGCTGCAGGATGCTGTGGTAGCCATGCTGGTTCAGTGTGCCTTCAATTTTGAATAAATCCCCAACAGTGTCACCAGCAAAACACCCCTACACCATCACACCTCCTCCTCCATGCTTCACAGTGGGAACCAGGCATGTGGAATCCATCCGTTCACCTTTTCTGCGTCTCACAAAGACACGGCGGTTGGAACCAAAGATCTCAAATTCGGACTCATCAGACCAAAGCACAGATTTCCACTGGTCTAATGTCCATTCCTTGTGTTTCTTGGCCCAAACAAATCTCTTCTGCTTGTTGCCTCTCCTTAGCAGTGGTTTCCTAGCAGCTCTTTGACCATGAAGGCCTGATTTGCGCAGTCTCCTCTTAACAGTTGTTCTAGAGATGGGTCTGCTGCTAGAACTCTGTGTGGCATTCATCTGGTCTCTGATCTGAGCTGCTGTTAACTTGCCATTTCTGAGGCTGGTGACTCGGATGAACTTATCCTCAAAAGCAGAGGTGACTCTTGGTCTTCCTTTCCTGGGTTGGTCCTCATGTGTGCCAGTTTCGTTGTAGCGCTTGATGGTTTTTGCGACTCCACTTGGGGACACATTTAAAGTTTTTGCAATTTTCCGGACTGACTGACCTTCATTTCTTAAAGTAATGATGGCCACTCGTTTTTCTTTAGTTAGCTGATTGGTTCCTGCCATAATATGAATTTTAACAGTTGTCCAATAGGGCTGTCGGCTGTGTATTAACCTGACTTCTGCACAACACAACTGATGGTCCCAACCCCATTGATAAAGCAAGAAATTCCACTAATTAACCCTGATAAGGCACACCTGTGAAGTGGAAACCATTTCAGGTGACTACCTCTTGAAGCTCATGGAGAGAATGCCAAGAGTGTGCAAAGCAGTAATCAGAGCAAAGGGTGGCTATTTTGAAAAAACTAGAATATAAAACATGTTTTCAGTTATTTCACCTTTTTTTGTTAAGTACATAACTCCACATGTGTTCATTCATAGTTTTGATGCCTTCAGTGAGAATCTACAATGTAAATAGTCATGAAAATAAAGAAAATGCATTGAATGAGAAGGTGTGTCCAAACTTTTGGCCTGTACTGTACTTCTGGCTATGCAAGACTATAATGAGCAAGTTTATTTTGAAAGAGATAAAATCCACATTACACAAATGATTTACAAATTGTCGTCCTTTTTATTCATACAACAATCTATATTTATTTGTATTTCTCTGCTGAACAAACACCATCAGTATTTTAACCTCACAGTTTTCTTTTCATGTGGGAAAAACACCTGCGGCAGCAATGAGAGTAAACATGGCAGACAGCTTGTGAGAAACTTTTCCTAAGCTGAGGGTGGATCAGATGATTGAAGATATGATCTATCTATGCACACAAATAGAGCGCTTTAGAGATCGTTAAATCCCTGAGGAGAGCACTCCTCCTGCATCAGCTGCCGTGGAGACACATGGTGCTGAGATCAGACACAATGACATCAGTGTGAATGATTTCACTCTGCGGACAAAGTCAGTTTGGCCCTGGAGAGGAAGACAAGGATAACAGTATTACCTTTTCACTTTCTCCTCCCATCAGTGCCTCCACTCGCACGTTGTTTCAGCCACTTCATGAGGGAGATCTAATTAATTGGCTCAGTGACAGCGGGCTGCTGCCAGGCCCCCAGCATAACCTTAAAATAGGTAGGGACGAGCACTAAGAATAAATGACAGTCCAGCTGAATTTATTTCTATGTCCTGGCACATCTGTATCTTGTTTTGCTGACATGTTTTAGATGTAGTTGAGATGTTGTGTTAATGTGAACACTAAGCAGCCAACCACAGGGGTGTGTAATCACAGGATTAAGGCAAAATGAGGGCCAATATAAAACTGCTCAGAATTGGAAGCATAAACTTCACGTCAGAATACTTAATACAGTGAAATAGTGTTTGCTCACTCTCAGCAGTCCTAATGCTTCTTAATCCATTAATGTGACCAGAAAACCACTTGTACAGAACAAATAATCCCCCTCATTGACCTGCTGTGTGCTGAAGGAAAAACATCATTAATCAGCACAAAATCTATTTTCTTGTGTGATGTTTCAGTCATGCTAGTGGCTCTATGGGGCTAAAATACTGATGGAAAACTTTTGTTTGTATTTATTTAGCTGTCTTTGTGAATTAAATTGTGCTGGTTACTGTATCTGTGATCTGAAGAGTGAGTTGTAAGATGTGTTCGGCAGTATTACAGTGTTTTGTTATGAGGATGGTGTAAGCACGAAGTTCATTATGTTCAGCTACTTGTAAGATTTTATGACATCATCTCAGTAGTTGCAACAATTTGTCTTACGGGAACATAAATGTCTCTGCATGGCTGGCAAGACATTTCACTGTGAACCAGACTTCAACCTCATGGTGCAGCAGTTAGGGGAATCACCAAAAGTGATTAGAAACATCATCTGAGAATCACTTTTGTAACATCCATTCAGTAGAGGTGAAGATATTTGACTTGATAAGTGAAGCTGACATGCTGGTGACCCTTTGCATGGCAATCTTTTCGAATATTCTTTTGTCTAAAGTGGTGGATTAGCTGACATCGCCACCTCCATAGCTACACTGCTAGCATGGTCAATCAGTCTTTAAGTGTTGCTGCTATCAGGAGAAAGCTGGAATTATGAACTTTAGAAATTTAAGATCAAGTATAGACTGTAAGAGCTGGTAAGAGGTTACTGTATATTAAAGGGAGAGGTCAGAGAAATCGGCATGGTCTTGTGTTGCAGGTTTGTGAGTGTACAGTTTGGCCGGCAAAGTGTCTTTTATCAGAAATAAAGCAGGCAATATCACCCATTTCTGAAAAAAAATTGATATATGGATAATTTCTGATCATTATTATCATTACCTAGCCTGGAAATCCAGACCCAAATCTAGATAGATTTAGGGTCTGGCTATGAGTAATGCAAATGGCCCAACTCGAGGGGCGGCACCAAGCATGCATTTGTAAATATCACTGCACACAATTGGATAACACTACGATCAATCAGAACAATACACGGGGTGACGTATACTCTTAGCTACCAGCGGAGCTAACTGGTAGATTAGACTCTTGCCGTATCCGGTTGGCAAAACAGCAAAAACGTCCTTCTTGCAAAGGAAAGACTCGAGCGCCATCTTCTGTTCCTCTTTTAGAGAAAAAGCCAAGTCTAACTCGTTCAATGTAGCGGCCAAAGCCGTTTCAAACAACTGGTGTTCATCCGTAGCCATCTTGCAATGTTCACTGACTGATTCCGGACTTCGTCGTCACAGCGCTGTCTTCATCTGTTTAGCTCGCCTCTGGGCCGCTTATATCAGATACACCGATGTGATTGGTGCAGCTCAGTTTCATGGGCATAGGTAATGAGCATCATTACTGATTGCCAGAGTGACTCGCTGAGCAAATTCAAATTGTGCTCTCGCGAGAACTCTGGATTTCCAGGGTAATTATTACCAATGTTAATACTTTGAATGTACTGTGATGTACCTTGGTAGTATTAGGTATTTTTCAGAGGCCTTTCCATAGGAAAAAATCTAGGGGAATCACTTAAAGGGACACTTCACCCCAAAATCAAAAGTACATATTTTACCCTTCACTGCTTGTGCTATTCATCAATCTAGATTGTTTTGGTGTGAGTTGCGGAGTGTTGGAGATACGGTGCTCAAAGTGCCAAAAAATACATTTGAAAAACTCCACAGCAATGTCTCTTTCCAGAAATCATGACCCGGTTACTTGAGAAAATCCAAACACCTTGTGATAAGCAGTTTCATGTAGGAACTATTTTCTTTCTACCGAACTACACCCACCAACGGCATCACCTTGCAGAGGGAAGCACGCATCTACTCATGGAGGAGGGGACTGACGTATTTTTGATTTTGGGGAATGAACTGTTACTTTAACTGTCATGATACAGGAAGACTAAAGTTAAAATAGTTTTTAAAGTCTACAAAATATCAAAAAATAGAAATGCTCATCATAATATCCTGAGGGCCAGAGGGACGTCTTCAAATTGCTTATTTTGTCAGACCAAAAGTTGTTCTACCCAAAAATTGCACATTAAAAAAGCTGAAATGAATATTCTGTTTAATCGACGAATTTCAGTTCTAGTCACTTCCATATTTCCATATATATGGGAGCTTTGAAGGGTCAAACTAGGGCTGCAACTTACAAATTTTCAAATATTGATTAATTTGTTAACTGTTTTCCAAAGGATTAATCGTTCTGTCAATAAAAGGTCAGAAAGTAACGAGGTGACAAAATCAAAGCAGCAAATCTACATATTTGAGAACCTTTCTATCAGTTATCAGTAATCGTTTCAGATTTTAGCAGTGTTTTGCATGTAGCCCCTTTACTTTGTCACTTTAAGTTATTTGTCGTCTGCCTGCTTTCAAAATTTAGCACAGTGTTTCACATATTCTGACACTTTGCAAGCAGCAGCTGGTATCCATGTATTTTAGTGCAGTAGGAAAAACAACTAGCGTGATTAAGGTTTGATAACCAAAGAGCTGAGCTGAAGTTTTAATGATGATTTGTTTCAATGACATCTTGTTCCTTTAAAACATATTTTAGTGACTTCTCTCTGCCATTGTTTCTTGTACAGGTGAGACGGTTGAAGAACAGAGGAGGAAGATACAGACCATGAACCTCACACAGCCGTCAACAAACGTCATAGTGCAGCCATCAAGGGTGAGCGTGTTGAGGTTTTCAGTTGGTGATATGAAGTTTACCCTGTGGCATTGTAATCAGCAATGTGGAGCTCAATAATCAGAGCAACAAGAGGAAGAATACATATTGTTTTATCACAGCAAACTGCCAGGAAGTCTTGTTTTTTCGTACACACACTGAGTGATTCAGCTCTGAGACCAGTAGCATCCCAGCTGGCCTTGCCCCGCATGGTTCATAGAACAATCTCCACTGCTGTGATGTTGACAGGTGCTGGGGGCTCGGGCTGAGCCAGCTTGCCAGAATGTGTCACGACCATTCACCACGCTGGCTGTAAAACTGAGCAGAGTTAGAAGCCTCCAAAGAGCTCCGCTGGCCTCCTGATTATTGTTACATACACGTATGAGCCTTAAGACTTCAGTGCTAATTGCTCAGTTTCTAATTAAGGACATTTTTGGGCACAGTGGTGTGTGTGTGTGTGTGTGTGTGTGTGTGTGTGTGTGTCTCTGTCTCTGTGTGTGTGCACACATTTGGTCCATATGGCATCCTGGAGAGACCACATGTCACACAGTTAGCGAGTGGCTCATCCCTCCAGTTTTAATCACATGGTGCAACAGGAAGCACTGAGATGCAGCAGCATTATAACCTCCCTTCAAAGCCTACGTGGTCAAAACACAAACTCAAACATAGACACATGAAAAGCAGTGTTCCCAACATGGAGCTATGGCAGTAACTAACAGTGGGGGGTTATTATCTTGCAAAACAGGTTAAAAATATCCATATGTACATTGACGCTAACTTCTAAAAGCTCTTAACTGAAGCTTAAGAACAACATATGCACACAAAACCAGGAAAAGACAACACTTAATATGCCATATTACAATATTAGGATAGGGGTGGGTGATATATTAGTCATACTCGATGTATCATGGCTTGTTCCATGTGGGGTGTATAAAATGATGCGAACATGGGGGATAAATTGTCGCCATTATTTTAAGCTACTAGCATGAGACTTGCTTTGGTGTTTTGGTTCTCTCCTTCTGACAAACATGACAAGTTACATGTACTCCCCAGCCGCACCAGACCACTCTTTCCTGGGTGATAGTGTGAGCAGGGGAAGTGTGTGGGTGCCTTCTGAATTGCATCATTTTTACTACAACTTTATATTTTCAGTAGGTACTGCAGCTGCTCTTAAAAAGTACCATGCAGTATGCACACAATCGGGACATACTACTGTCTTATAACATTATACCCTGAACTTTGACCCTCTTGCCCATATATCCGTTACCTTGGAGATGAAACAAAACAGCGTTCGTCGAGTTTGCCCTAGATGGAGGTCAACTCAGAGACTACTGATGTTGTTACTCTGCAATGTATGTAGTTTAACTTTTAAATTATAACTGCATAGATTGTAGATTCTAACATATTCACGGCAGTAAAATTACATCTGCATTTCTGTGCCATTGCTGTGTCGTTAATCGTTGGTAACTTTATGATTAGTTTATTCATTTAAACAATTAATACTTATATTATTACTATTCGACTGGTCACCAGTCACTTGAATGCGCTGTCATCCATCATTGCGACTTCTGAGAGCTGTCGATCAACTGTCAATCAGTTGTCAAGCTGTCATCTGTTTGTGCCTCAGTCAATGTGACGTATCTTCTGCTGCGCCAAGGATTGTGGGTCTGAATAGCCAGAGAAACATGCTGGCTTGCATATTACAGGTTAAAACCAGATTTAATAGAACATCCTGGTATTTCTGGCATACTGCATTTGACATACTATGTATTGGGACCATACTAAATCTTGTCTGGAATACTATATAGCCTGGTAGTATGGGTGTTGGAACACAAAGTGTGTTTCTGTATGTGCAGGGCTTCAGACTGAGACCATTTTGTTGCATTGTGTGACCATGGAGCAGCAGTGTGACCTGCAAATGTTATTAATATATGAACTGTAGAGCTGTTATTCGAGTCCCGCTCACAGAGAATAATTCCTCATGTTTCACAGCGTCGCTTGATCAGTTTAACTTGCAGTTAACTGCTAACATCTAGCTGTTGACAGGAAGCTTTAGGTTCGCTACAAAAACGTCAACACTTGTGCTAGAAAAAAAAGAACTGTAAATGTGTATGTAAAACTACTATCATTAACTCTGTGTCTCCTTTTCCTCACAGCCCTCCTGTAAGGCTCCAGCCCCTCCCACTGACATAAAGTACCCTGTAGCTTTCCCCACAGCAGCGCCAACAGCAGGGACCTGCTCAGGGACCTCATCAGTGGAAGCTGCTTCAACTCTCCCAGATCTGCTCGGGGACGTCCCCTTCACTTTGGCTCCCCACGTCCTGGCCATGCAGACGGGGCTCCCTCTGATTCCTGACGTGCTGTTGTCCCGGGACATAAACTATAACCTAGCTAATTTTCAGTATGACTTCACTTTAGAGAACTCTGTGCTCCATAATGCCTAGTCTGTTACAATTTTGATATTAGTCCACTCTGTGGGGAACTTGGCTGATTGTTGGTCATGTGAGAGGCTCCAGCGCTACAGCGTAGTAGCATAATGAACAAGTAGCTGACACAATTGCATTGAACATAAAATAAGCTGTAGAACTGCGGATTAAAACTTCTGTTACTAACTCCTAATCCATTTTTAATGTAGAAGCATTGAAATGAAATGACAAACATTGAAAAGGACACAAGGAAGCATGAGAATATTGCTGGCTGTACAACTGATGACTGAAAAGTTCTAACTTTACAGCTTTATAGGAACTGAATGGACTTGTGGTTTACTTGTTTCTTGTGGTACTCTCAACATGAACACGGTTAGCGCACCTGCTGTTAACTTTCATGATGGATATGAGCCTGGTTTTCTTGGTTAAGACATCGTGATTGTCTTGTCTTTAGGCACATTGCAGATACAGTGAAGTACAGTGTGTTATCACTGCTGTTGTGATGTTGACGGACTGTGGACAGGGTAATTAAGGTTTATTACTGCTTGGGTTTCTTACAGTTATGATCAAGAAATTTGCTGAGATCTGGGAACATTGGTACAGAAAGTCGGAAGGGTAAAGCCAAAAGGGAACACGCCTGAAATGTTGGTGCCAACTGTGCACACAATGACCAAGACCAAGACTTTGGTCATTGAACTGTCATAGATGGTTTACAACGGTGGTGTTTTATAAAGTTTGGGTAATAATGTTACCCTTCACCTTTGTCTTCTCTTCCAAACGCTAACCTGGTAACCTTGTTTACAACCAGATCTGTTCATGTGATTACAAGAATTCTGCTACCAGCACTGAACCTGACAGGTCCGTCCAAGATATTGGGTTTTAGGCAATTTTTTGTGTACTGGTTTGAGTTCATGTTTGGTTATTTTCAAATATATTTTATTAGAGATTCCTCTCTCCAACTGTGCCAATCTTCTGGGTCTGTGTGGGTCATCTGTTGCAAGTAGATGCCTAGAGGAAATAGCGGAAAACACAGTTGTAGCCAATTATTATCAAAGCGAAGGTAAAGCCAACTCGTTCTCATTTCCAGTTCGTCAAATACTTCACAAATCACTTTGCCACACACCTTTGGTACGCTCTTTTGTCATGCCCATTCGCAACGGCCATTTGTCACGCCCTTTTGTGTGTTGTAATGATGCTAAAGGCACCCTTTGGTGTCATTATGAAAGGCATCGGGCTTTCAGCTAACTTCATTGTCAGCCAATCGCGACAATACTTTGTGCTGAGAGCGCTGATGTAGTTTAAAGAGCAAAAAAAAATAAGCAGAGACAGTCAAACAAAACTGGACTTTCACCCAGGAGACAGCTGTTTGTGTCCCACGAGAAACCAAAGATCAGTGTTGTTTTAACATAACATTTACGTAATTTACATTGGTTGTTGCGCACTGATATCACTCACATGACGCTTTTACGTTATGTAACAAACGTATTTTAACCCAAAACATAATAATCTTTTTTGTACACCTTACCAAGTAGGTTTGTTGCCTAAACCTAACAGCCACCGTTTCACAACATTTAACACGTTACAATGTGTTTCAGCTGTGTGTCACATCGATGCGCCCTGTGCGTCGCTATGAGACGCCAAGGGGCATGACAAAGCATCAGTATTGGATGACCTGGAAATGAGAATGGGTATGTAAACCATAAATATAGCTTCAGGGCTCAGGTCAAGTTCCAGTCTCAGATTGGGAGTGCCAGTCAGCTGTAGTTGGGTTTGGTCTTAAAGACTCAGGTACGAGCCACTTTCAGGTCTCTGTTTTAGGTCTTCTGACTGCTTGTGTGTCTTACCCTGTCAGGCCTCCATTTTGCCAGATCTCAGCAGTTAACTTGAAGAGTACAGTCTATTTATTAAGGATATGAATGGTGGCCAAACTACCAAATAAAATCCAGGTTGTACTTAATTAGAATTATCCTTTAAGTTAAGGTTGATATTTTATTGCATAGGCTTCAGGTTAGTTGAAGATGTGACACCTCGATGATGAAGCATTAACTTTTATCAAAGCTTAGAACTTGGACAACAAATAGCCTACCTCCCATTGAGCTAAACCCAAGTGTTCAACAGAATCATTGGATGGAGGAAAGTACTTATTCATGGCAGGTCTGGGAATCATCTGTGTACAAAGAGCAAGAGATTGTTTGAATGATGATGTGAAAATGAACAGTAAGACAGTTTTTACTAACTACAGCTTTTGTGTAATACTTTAATATGCGATTTATATATTTGATGTAGCACCTTCTGCCATAATTAAGGTTTTGACTCTTGGTGACTACAAATCACCACCATGATTGAATTTCTCTTCCTGTATGTGGCCTTCCCTTTGACCCAGCATATTCTTTGGCCAGCATTAGTTTATTGCATTATTTATTCTGTTTGCATTTCAATTAGTATTTGCTTTCTTGTGTTCATGGCACACATTTTTGTCAGAATGAAGTCAAATATAGTACATACACAATCTGCTTTGGCTAGAAGTCTGCAAAGAGGTTGGTGCTTAGCCCTGACATACTGTAATTCTCAAATAGAGCAGCCTTTACTGACCTCAATGGTAATCTCAGCATCTTCTCCATACTTGGATTAATTCATGATAATATACGATACTTTCCACAGCAGTACATCCATCAGCTAAACAGTAAAGTCATGTCTCTTCTTTAAAAAGAAAAGCTTTTATTCATTTACAATGTTCAGCTCCTTCTGCTTTGTGCTTTTTTTATTGTGAAGTTACTATTAATAAAAGTCAGCATTTCCTCTTCTGTTATTTCACATTTTAAGTCCTCAAGGCTTCCCCTTCCTGGTAGGCTTTCAAAGTTTTGCGTTTTACTGACGGGTTAAACTTTGAATGGTTCCTTGTTTGATTCTCTCAACATTAGTCTTGAAAATTCTCTTACTGTTTGTTCTGACGGTCACGTGACAGTAAGCCAACCTTCAGTTTTAATCCGGTTACAGTCTCAGAGGTGCAGAAAGCCCTCAAATTTAGACACTAGACAATTTGCAGGTCCTGAACTTGTAGCTGATTTAATGGACCACTTTTGACACATCGTTTTGAACTATCACTGGACATTCCCCTTATATGGGAATCCACTTTTGTTCTCCTGCTGTTTGCTTGTCTGTCCTGGTTATGGTTATGCCAAAATAGGCAATCTTGCAATACACTCTCCACTTGTAGTGACTACAGCATTATTATTTTTTGATTGTTACCTTTTTTATCACAATTTAACTGTTTCAATTTAAAATTTCCCAACACAGACTTTCAGTTTTATGCAGATGATACTGTGATGTATTGCTCTACATCTGCACCAAACCAGGCTCCTTGTCAGCTTCAACTTGCTTTTAATACCCGACAGTATACCCTGTGTGATTTAAAGAAGCAGTGTGGAGGATTTAGTGGCATCTAGCAGTAAAGACTGCAGATGGCAGCCGGCTGAAACTTCTCCCGTTTGCTAACGCTAAGCTCCTGTGTTAATTGTTCAGGAGATTTTTACCAGGAGCTCAGCACCTGCTAGTATGGGTTCATCTTATTTCTCTGATAACTTAGAATCTAGGGGTTCAGGAGGTTTTCATCGGGAGCCGAATTATCTGCAGAGGTCTCTTCCTGGTCAAAACAAACGGACCAGGTGATCTGAAATGGTAAAAACACAGAATAAAGCAGTTTAAGGTTAAAAATCAGTGCTTTTTCAATGCTGTTTGGCTACTTGCAGAGGGGCTGCTAACTACAGGGACCGATGTTAAATCATGACTGACCCTAATCTTTGAGCCAGTGTTTGGTTTGTCTGTTCTGAGCTTCTGTAGAAACATGGCGGTGCAACACAGACATGGGCTTCCTCTGTGGGCGAAGACCTGCTCCCCATGTAGATAAAAACAGCTCATTCTAAGGTAACGAAAACACGACAATTCTTATTTTCAGGTGATTTTATTCTAAAGAAAACACACTTATTACATTAGATTCTTTTTTGTCAGTGTATCCTCCTAAATCCAACACACTGGACGTTAACTCACCAAACATTTCAGTGAGCCCTGGTGCACGGAAGCATCTGCATTTGATGTGTTTCACCTCTCTTTAATTCAAGTTTTTCCTTTAGTATTTCCCTTGTCTGTCCATGATGCTGACGGCCTCCTTTATTCTTGCTGGTCACCGTCTTTATCTGAATATCTTTTACAGTACTTGATTTAATGCTGGTTTATTGCTGGTAAACACTATAAAATATAGGGGGTTTAACTTGAGCAATTATTCATCTGCAGGTCTTGATTACATCGATGTGTGCATCCTGGTTTGAATTACATTATCAACAGATCACATGAAGTTTGCTCAGTTGATGTGCTTACATAACCAGGGTGATTTTCTTTAGTTATTTTGTAAATATGAACTTTTAAAATGAGCATAGATCTTTTGCTTAGACAAGGAAATACATTTGCATGGAGTCAGGATTTTACCCAGGAAAACACCTTTTGATTGTTTGTATATGATCAAATTTGGTCTCTTCAAACCTAATGTGCCTTTAATATACAGTCAATATACCTTTCAAATTGTCTTTTAGAAGTACGCATTTAGTCACCTGTTAACTCCCACTGAAATCTCTCTCTGAAGCAATCTTATGCCCTGAGTTAAAGTACGCATTTGCTGGTGCTGGAAATGTTTTCAGTTGGTTGTAACTGTGGACAGAAACTTACTTTACAAATAAATTTGAAGAGCATTGTCTAACTTGTGACTGTCTGTGTATGAGGGAAATGTTTTTTCATTGACTATATATCACATTAAATACATTTAAATTATGATTTATTATATGTTATAATTTAAAATATACATATTTTTACCTCTCAGGATTGAATAGATAAAGTAAGATTGTGAAAGTGGTAAGAAATATAAAGTTACAGATATTAATTAACCAATTCACTTTGTGGTGCAGTTATTGTAACCAGCATGTACTGTATGTGTTCAAGTTAATATGCCATGGTGTGGTTGCGAGTCACGTGACTTGGACTCAGACTCGTCATGAATGTGATGCCTTTAAGGACGGCCCAGTGACTGTGGTCAACAAAAATCAGCGACATGCATAATGTGCAGGAATATCACACCATGACACACTGGAATGGGTTTCTTTTTGAATGTTTATTTGAAAGTAATAAATACAAAATTTAAAATGCATTCAAAGCAGAATGACTTGTGTAGGACTGAAACACAAGTTTTAGGACTTGGGCTTGACATTGGCCTTAATTTGTGACTTGATTTTTTTGATGTTAGATTTGGTCTTGACCTCGTATTTAGCTGCCTTGACGGTCACAGGACAAACACAGGCCCATTTTTCTCTTTAGGAAAGAAAGAAAACATAAATAAATAATAGTAATAATAATAATGATAAATAAGGAGAAAGCTCTGTTTCTAAAAGAGGCACTTTTAAAACTTATTTTATTCAGAAGATTCTGTCTTGTTTTTTTATACTTTAAATGTAAACCTGACGTTTATTGTGCTAGGACTGTTTTTATTTATGGTTAGGATACCTATAATTTTTCCACAAAAGTGCCTTACAAGTTCAATGTGTCTGTATGCTAAAGCTGTAGTATGTAATTCTGGAGAAAGGTAGATTGTTGAGTGTCATTCCCAGGTATTATTGACGCTTAGGGTTGGTGGTTCAGGTCGACCACTTATCCAAGGTTGTCATTATTTGACGACCTGGAGATGAGACTCAACGATCTTTCTCCAGAACTGCATACTGAACCTTTAAAGCGTTCTACTTTGAAAACTAAATATTGTTATAATGGTATTGAAATGTATGTTGGTGATTTTATTGGATGGGGTAGGCTATAGCAATGCTTCTCAAACCTTTTTGTGTCTAGGACCCTTAAACTATTACTAAGACCAGAATTTTAGAGTTGAGGAGAGAACCATAGAGGAAAGTGAAATCTATGATCAGAATTGTCTCTCTAATGACTTTTACTCACATTCACCTCACTTCTATAGTGAGTTACGAATGGTGACAGTAAAAAATTTTTTTTCTGGGGACCACCTGGAGCTCCTTCAAAGACCCCTTGTGGTCCACTGATCCCTGGTTGAGAACCACTGAGCTTTAGGACGCAATTTTGACATTAAGAGGTTTCGACCTTTGTTGGGAGAAAATTTTAGTAATCTCTTTACATTTGAATTAAATACCCCTGTTATAGGATCATACTTTGAATGCACCACTGTCAATTTAACACACACAGTTTGAATCTGGTTCTTGGGAATATTATCTATATATGATTTAATTAGAGTTTTCCTTTAAACACAGGCATATATCTAAAGTGGCGATTCAAGCCCAGTTTTCTGCCCTGCATATATTTAAGGAGGGCCCACTCTCTTGATGGGCCCCCTCACCTCATGGGCCCCTGTGCAACCACCCTGCCTGGCCCTGCACTGTCTATATTTACGCCCCTGGATAATAGAAAGTTTTAGTAATGCTCTGCTTTAAAATAAGAAAAATGTCACTCACTTCAATACACTTTATTGCATTTGAATGTTATAATTTTACTCAAGTTATAATGTTACATCCTGTTTAAATGCACATGTAGGGTATGCACATAATACAAATTCACTTTATGGCCTTTATGCAGTGGTCACCAACCAATAGCAGACCCTGAGATCACCTCGGGTTAACTTACCACTCGTTTATATTGGTTAAACCCTCCACACACCCAATGAACAACCCATTGACACATCCAGGAAGTAGCCAGCACCAATCAGAAAGTAGTCGTAGTGATTTGGTCCCACCCATGGCCCAACCTCTGCTGTCAGAAGTTGTGCAAACTGACAACTGCTGTCTTGGAAATTGTGTTAGAGCAGTCAGGAGTTGCGAGAGATTGTCAACATTGACTAAATTGACTACAGTGATCCAGTGGTGGCAACTTTTAGGCACAGTTAGTTCAGGGTCAGTGGGTTGTTTGTGCTCAGAGAGGGAAAAGGAAGCTGTGAGTTTGTAGTTTTCGTCGCCAGCATTGCAGAAATGTAAAGTGGAGACTGTTTGGGACGTCGTGAATTAACTTGAGAAACTTTGTCAGCTGCAAAGTTGTGAAAATGGAAAGCGTGTAGGTGTGTCCTGTGAAACTGTGAAGTCCGGGTGTGAGCTGTTAAACAGGTCATTGTACTTTTGCCACTCACATTGTTACATAAACAACTTTATCAGCTGAACTTGGCAGATCATGTCAGCATCACCAGCAGCAGCAGCAGCAGGCAGCTCATCCCAGCAGCGGGTTAAACACAGCGGCTCCCCAACAGCCTCCTGCCCTTCCTGTAGCAACAACACCACCACGGTCCGGTTGCAGCCTATCCGCGCCACGGTGCCGTACCAGCTTTTGCGTGGAAATCAGCTCAGCCCAACCCGCTCAGCTTCCTGCTCCTTCACAGTAGCCGGGAGCAACACAGGACCAACGACGTCCCGTTGCTCCAGTCCCGCCAACCCGGGTGGAAGCGGCTCGGACGGCAGGCTGGTCCCCAGGCAGAGACTCTCACCGCCGGACAGCAGGAGCTCACCAGAGCGCTCTCCCTACTCGCCTGTTTCCAAAGGTAATGTCGTCCTTTTAAGTAAATGAAGTGTATCCTTAACGCACCCATCATCGCTCAGATAGCTTTGAGCTAACTTGGCTAAGTGTCGTTCTCTCGCCCGTCAAGCCAAACTACCTTTAAAAATATGACAATTAAATGAAATCGGCGATTAATGAACACAAAACGTGCATTTAAAAATAAAAACTAAAGCAAAGCCGAACAAATACATGCTACTCTTAAATTCGGCGTAGGTATAGTTCACTATATATCATTACATTCAAATATAATCTCAACTTAAACAATTTTCCCCACCATTCGCCATCAGGCGCCACGTTGTGTTTTGGTGAGAGATGCTAGTGGAAATAACACACGAAGCACCTCAAAATATTGCATTTTAAATCAAATGAGCATCGTCTCACAAATGAAACATACGCCGAATTGTAAAGCGGGCTGTCATTATTCAGACTCAAGTCGTAAAATTTGTCTAATGCTTATATAACTTTCCCAGTAAACCAGAACACGTAGAATTGTCAAGTTTTCCAAAGCAGGATTCAACGTAGCGAGTCCTTCTCTCTGTAGCTACGATTTAACTATCCTTATCGGGGCGAGATGCTAGGCTAGGTGGCTAGCTTTCTAATTGGGTCATGATACATTAGGCGTTTTATAATTTACGCTGTAAACATCGAGATGGCACATAACACACACACGATAACGTACTTAAAATATATTTTAACAGTGTGTCCCGCACCTATGTTGCAATTTCTATCATGATGTCAGTAATATTTTAGCACACACAGCTCAGGGTGTTTTGGCACATTATTCCAGTGTGTTACAATCGCGATTTAAACGGAATGAGGTAATGCAGTTGTTGTTATATTACACTGGCATTATCCTCGCTACGATGAGGTAAATATGTGAGGCTATGGATGCCCGTGTGGTGATGATGCAGTTACTCTGTCGAAGATAAACAGGGCTCCCTGCTCCACATTACATGGATGATTAGTCAGATTTTCAGTATCTGCCATGAACACTGGCAGCTTATTATTAATTCGCAACATTATGGTTGTTTGCCATCATTGAAATGGAAAGAAATATGTCGTCAGCTGGTAGCTCCATTGCTTCTATGGCAACATTGGGGCCTAGCAGTCTGTGAGACATAAACAGAGCCCTCTGGGCAAGCAGGCCAGCCTCTGCAACTGCATGCATACATGTAAAAATACATGAGCAAATGAATGTGTGTCTGTGCACAAAGAGGAATACAATGTCCTTGCAAATACAGCAAATTATAATTTTTTTTTTTTTTGCAATCCAGCCAATATATAGCATGTGTCATGGCTACTACATCGTTACCACATATTTATGTGAGGAGCTGTTAGCTGTAATGTGTCAGCTCTGCTCTGGATGAAGATATTACAGGCTATTATGTGCACTTGACTTTGCATCTTTCCACACCGAGATATCAATGCTGGTAGCAGTGGCGCGTCCAGGGCAATTTGATCGGGGTGGCCAAGGTGGGGCATGAATCAAGCCAGGGTGGCACTTAGCATGGTGTTTTGGGCAACTGCCAACAGCCAATAAACACACAGAGAGAAAGCTTACGGAAAGCTGCTAGTGCCATCACTGTCTGACTTATTAGATAGATCCGTACATGAGCTAACATTACCTCACATTAGTCCTCTTCATGCTGCTGTGGACATTTCAATCTGTTTATATTGTTACGGTCATTAGTCACAAATACTTTTAACCTGTCAATACAAAAATATAAAGCTGCAATAATCAATATTTTTATATTAACAATGGATTAAACGACTGTGTAATGGAAAATGTATGCCTATTGTAAAGCTAAGATGCTGCCATCAGAAATTGGAGCCACTGAATTTAGTTCCCGCCCATACACACAGGTTGACACAAAAACCTGTCAATCAACCTTTTTATACCATCAAATAACTAATTAGATTAAAACTTATCAGGAAAGAATTGAGCATACATTGATGTGAGAAGAACTACCTAAAATGACATTTGAAACTTTAATATTTTAGCTTGTTCATGTCCCATCTGCTAACATGTAGGGGGCGGGCACACTGCAGCCAGCTACCGTTGTAACGCCATCCAACTTTATAGAGCGGCGGGTCCCAACTGGTGGGTCGTGGTTCAGAAGTGGGTTGTGAATCCATTCTGAATGGACTGCAAGTGACTCACAAACGTTTGTGAAAGCACACTTTATTTTTAAGTACAGTGAATTTCTGGCACAGAGCTTGTATTTGAAGTGCTGTTTCCCGCTGTAGAGTGGGTGACTAACGGACAGCTACTTGAGACAGACAGCAAATTAGCTCGATGACATAGCCAAGCGCAAGTATGGCGCTGAATATATATTTAACTGTTTGGACCTTGAACTAATGACTAGGGAGAGTGCTCCAGGGATGACGTTTTTCTGTAGGCCAACACAGAAGTTAGTGTCACCCTGGCTCCCTTTTCCACATGCCTCTGGGATTTTTCCTTTGAATTTTGGATCATTGCTGAAAATAAATAAATAATGTCTGTGGCAGACATTTATGATACTTACACATTTTTCTCAGCAAGATAATCTTAACAAATGATCACTTTTATGATTTTTGAAGCTTAAATTCAATCACCAGAGGTAAATAGCTAATGTTAGGCCTTGAACAAACTTCACCACGGTTACATGACTTGACATTGCCACCACAATGAGGCTGTGAAGCTGTGTTCAGCGTGATGACGTTCTGTTGTCTCATTTAGCAACTTGTTAGCAACCGCCTTTTTGAGGACACATAAAAGCCTCTGAATTCACTTCAATTCATTTACTGATGTATTTGATGTCGTAGAACAAAACATAAAAGTCTCTTAAGATTATGTTAACCAAAGACCATGTTTCAGGCATCTAACCAAAAACCCGTTCAATCCACTGACTTAGAGATGAGGGAACCAGGAGTGCTAAAATGCTAACTCATTTCCAGGTGTTAGGACTCATTCATGGAGCATTCTAGTGAATTAGTGAATTTATTTCGGTCATTGACAACTTGTAGAGTTTGAGTACACAAACAATAACTCATGCACAAAATTTATACATTGAATAAAACAATAGTTAATTTCCTTTCAGTACTGAAAACCAAAACATAAATATCTACAAATGCACTAACCAAAAAGGTATAGGCTGAGGCCTTAGCTTATTTTGCCTACCCTTCTTACATTAATAAGGTTTTGTCAGCTCCCTTTGGAAAAAAGATAAAAAGAATGAAAGAAACGAAACAAAATATGTATTGTGTACACAAAAGGTCCCAATGCACTTGGTGAATGGTGTGAATGTGAATAGTGTTCATAATTCTGTTTTGTATTTACTAATAATATTATTTTTAAATATCTTTTTAAATCTGTTAAGCATATTGCATAATTTCATTTCTATTTCTGAATAATTCCATAAGTTTACACCTTTTACTGTTATACATCTTTGCTTTACATTAATTCTTGCCTTTGCTTTTTGGAACATGCAAATCCCTCTTAGCTGATATTGGCTCACTCTGACCTGAAACATCCTCTGGATTCTTCCTGGAAGCAGATTGTTATTTACTTTATACATAATTTGTGCAGTTTTAAAGTCAACCAAATCAGTGAATTTGAGGATCTGTGAATTCATGAATAATATGTTTGTATGTTCATGATAATCAGCTTTGTTAATTATTCTTATTGCTCTCTTCTGTAATATAAAAATTGGGTTTGTGATAGTTTTGTAAGTGTGTCCCCAGACCTCCACACAGTAAGTGATGTATGGCTCTATGAAGGAGCGATACAACAGATGTAATGAATTTCTGTTGAGAATGTATTTTGTTTTGTTCAATATTGCAATAGATTTTGATATTTTGTTTTTTATATGATTTGTATGTGGTTTCCAGCTTAATTTGTGATCTTTAATAACTCCTAAAAACTTATTTTTCCAGACTCTTTCTATTTCATTGTTATCTATCATAATTTGTGTTTGATTTTGAGTTTTACGATATCCAAATATTATATATTTAGTTTTATTTAAATTTAATGACAGTTTATTAATATCATACTATCGTTTCAAAGTTTCAAGTTCTTTTTCCATTGTATTCAGAAGCTGTCTCAGGTCAGAACTGGAGTAAAGCAAATTTTTGTCATCTGCAAACAAAACAAAGTGCAACAGCCTGGACACATTACAAATATCATTAATATACAGAATAAATAACTTTGGACCAAGCACAGAACCTTGTGGAACCCCACATGTAACCCNAGTGCAACAGCCTGGACACATTACAAATATCATTAATATACAGAATAAATAACTTTGGACCAAGCACAGAACCTTGTGGAACCCCACATGTAACCCTCAGTAAGTCAGACCTTTCATCATTTAGTTGTACATATTGATATCTATTATCCAGATAGTTACTGATCCATGAGTATGCTATCCCTCTGATCCCATATCTGTCCAGTTTCCTCATGAGTAGGTTATGGTATACACAAATCAGGGAACCACTTCTTGTGTTCCCTAATCTTTTGGCACCACCATCACTGCGGTGGCAGGTCTCAGTGTCTGCTGCTGCCTGCTGACAGTGACAGCAGCAAGGTTTTAGTGTTTTTAAATGATCTCAGCTAATTGGTGACAAAGTTTGGCATGACTTTGCACTCTAATGTTTTCTGCATCTGCTGGAAAAGGCGACTGTAGATGTAACTGCAGCCATAACAAATGAATGAGTTAAGAACACATCAGATGTGTGTTCACAGCTGCGTTCACTGCCCCCATGTGGCCATAAAATGAGTTAGTTAAGCAATATGACATAATAGTGAGTGCCGTTGTATTGGACATCAGCACAACTGTGATTCGGTCATAGACATGAGGCTGCAGGCCGAGTCTAGCTCAGGGATTTTATAGAATAGTCGATTAGTTGGCTATTCAACTAGGGCTGAACGATATGGAGAAAATTTCATATCTCGATATTTATGCCAGATATCTCGATACCGATACGATATGACTATGGGTTCAG